TTGGACATTATCAGCACCTGGGGGTAGCACTTGCTTTCCTTGCTATGGAGGTGATGGAAAACAACAGACTTAGCCCCCCCCCAGCTGATTTCTGAAGAAGACTGGCACAGACACTGCTGCTGGCCCCCGTGTATGTGACAACAAACGTAAACTCACGTTTCTCTTTGTGCAATCATAGAATGGCCACGGTTGGAAGGGACCTTAAAGATCATCCAGTTCCAACCCCCCTGCATGGGCAGGGACACCTCCCACTAGATCAGGCTGCTCAGAGTCCCATCAAGCCTGGCCTTGAACGCTTCCAGGGATGAGGCTTCCATCTGGGCAACCTGTTCCACTGTCTCACCACCCTCACAGTGAAGGATTTCCTAAGTTTCTTAATGGGTACTTTTATGCAGATAGGTGGGATGATGCTGCCATCCTGCAGGTCCCCATTTCCTAGCAAAATTCTTGCTCCAGTAACCCCCAGGAGCCAGCACGGCATCGAGACCCTCTTTATGCAAAGAGATTCAGCAGCACTTCTAGGAGTCCCCACGTGAGCCATGATTTGCCTTTAGAATTCTGGTGAAGCCATGAACAGTGAATAGTGGAGCAGGAAAAGACCACCTCCCATCTTTTTCCCTTCAGAGGTGGGGAGCAGGGGGAGCTGGCATGCTGGAGCCTCCGTGCCAGTGAGGTGAAAGGGAAACAAAATGCAGATGAAATGTCTGTGCGGGGGGGAATATTTTGTCACTGATTAAAGAAGATGGTGCCTCTGCAAGTGGATTCCTGCCACCACCAGCACTCGCTTCCATCCCTCTGAGCTGCAGAGAGATGTGTGGATTCCACCTGCATGGAACGAATCATAGAATCATAGAATCTTAGGGGTTGGAAGGGACCTCGAAAGATCATCTAGTCCAACCCCCCTGCCAGAGCAGGGTCACCCAGAGCACATCACACAGGAACGCATCCGGGTGGGTTTTGAATGTCTCCAGTGAGGGAGACTCCACAACCTCCCTGGGCAGTCTGTCCCAGTGCTCTGTCACTCTCATAGTAAAAAATTTTTTTCGGATATTCACCTTGAACCTCCTATGCTCCAATTTACACCCATTACCCCTTGTCCTATCACTGGTCATCACTGAGAAAAGCCTAACTCCATCTCCCTGACACTCACCCCTTACATATTTGTAAACATTGATGAGGTCACCCCTCAGTCTCCTTTTCTCCAAGCTAAAGAGACCCAGCTCCCTCAGCCTTTCCTCAGAAGGGAGATGTTCCACTCCCTTAATCATCTTCGTAGCTCTGCTCTGGACTCTTTCAAGCAGTTCCCTGTCCTTCTTGAACTGAGGGGCCCAGAACTGGACACAATACTCCAGATGTGGCCTCACCAATGCAGAATAGAGGGGGAGGAGAACCTCTCTTGACCTACTAACCACACCCTTTCTAATACACCCCAGGATGCCACTGGCCTTCTTGGCCACAAGGGCACATTGCTGGCTCATGGTCATCCTCCTGTCCACCAGGACCCCCAGGTCTCTTTCACCTACACTACTCTCCAGCAGCTCAGCCCCCAACCTGTACTGGGACATGGTGTTTTAGGCAAACCCCCTAGCATTTACCTTGGGCTGCAGTATCACCTGGAGGAGACTTGGCGTGAGTTAGTGCTGGATTGTCAGAGGAGTTGGAGCTGTGAAGTGATCCGTCTGGCGAGAGTCTGCCAAGCAATTCACAGGAGGTGACAAAGCGGTATCTCCGTCGTTTTAATTAGTTTTTTTTGGGGGGGAAATGAGGTTGGCTTGAACAGAGCCAGAGGCAGGGTGATGACCTTCCCACACATCTATCTCCTGGACTTCCCTCTGCGCTGCTGAGACACGGGGACGGACTCTGCGGGTTTGCTCCGATGGTTCCTCGCTGCTTAGGGAATTTAAAAGGGGATGGGGAAGATCGGGTGGGTTTTTTTTTTTTGAGAAGATAATGGAAGGTTGCAGTGGGAAAAAGTGTGGGCTCAGACATCCTGCGGTTCCCCGAGCGGGGCGGGGTGCGCTGGGCGCGGAGGCTGGAAAGGTGCCACCAGGTGTCTCTGCAGCCTCAGAAATGGGGTCCCCGTGCGGGACACGGGGGGTTTGCGGGGGAAGGGGAGGCCCGCAGACCCCCAGTTAAACACACACACACACACGCCCCGCTCCTCCTCCCCTCGCAACGCGAAGGTTTGCGACCTCCGAGTGGCTTCTCCCCAAGGGACGGAGCCACATCAGGGCCTCAAAGCGACTTGTGTTTTGGGGAAAGCCCGTCCAGCTTCGCAGGCAGTGGTTTGCCTGACACGGGACTCGGCACCCCAAAAGGCTTTGGAGGCAAGAATCCTATCCTGGCCCTCAGTGCTGCCATAAAACAGGGAAGTTAAATCATTTACCAAAACCCTCCCCGGGACTAAGCGCACGGTCAGGCAGAGGATACGCGGGTTTAATTCACTTCTTCCTTTCATTAAGCAGCGCTGATTACAATTGCATGTGGAAAGATCAAAGCCTTTCCTGATTCCCAGGTCTCAGCCACAAGAATCACAGCACCGTTTGCCATGCAAGACAGCAGTTATTTACACTACCAGTGCATTAAAAAAAAACCCCAACAAAGCAATTAATTTTCTGTGTGCAGAACAAACCTGCCTGCAATTTAGGGCAACGCAAAGGGCAGCCAGGCTGGTCGTCTTTGTTGCCCTGTGGGCAGTTTTAAATTTCACTGAGGAAGGGGGTGGCAAGGGAAGGGAGAGTGGCAAAAATTAGATCTGAGGGAGGTCAACTCTGTCCACTTAACTTCTATTGACCCACTTGTAACCAGAGCTGAGCCCAGCCTGGATATTGGAATTTCTCTGGCCACATCTCTGTCAGTGTGCAGGATCTGAAAATGTCTAAATCCTTCTAGCACAGTGAAGTCCCTACAGTCTGAAAACCACCATAGGCACCAATTGTCTCATAGCTGCTTTGGGCTGTGTGTGATAAGAAAGAGAAGCTGGGGTAAATTTACTGGGGGAGTAAGAGGAAGAAAGCACTTTCTTCCCTCTCGCTGGGTAACGTGTGGAAAGCCCCAGGGAATTACTGCTCTGTGTTTCAGTTGATGTACTAAAAAATCCCAAACTTTTCTGACAAAGGATCTTCACAATTATGAAAATCTTGTACTTCAATCTGATTCCTCAGTTCCTGAAAAGTTCCCCAACTTGCACTTACTTTTACGCCATTTTAGGGCCGTAAAAGTAGCAAAAAATAAACATGGAGCATCAGGCCCATATTTCTCTCCAGGCTCCCAAGCAGGCTTTCCTTATGCAAATACAAAAAAGGGAAACCAGATACCCCTCGCCTCAGCATGAGAAAATTGTGTTAATTTTAATAAGTTACAGTGTGACTGCAATACCCCGATGCAGTAGCTATACTGCAAAGTAAGCACCAGAATGCAACCCCAAAAATGTGTCCATTAAATAAAATAATAATAATAAAAGAGCCTTGGCTTGCTTTAGTTACAGGTTTGGCTGAAAAGCTGAGCCTTGAACTGTATGAGCTGGCTCTGGTTCTCTGGTCCACAGAAAGGCTGAATTCATTACTCAGGAAACCTTCATGGAGGGCACACTGCCTCAAATCCCAGAGAGCAATGTCGATGGATGGGAATGGACATGGGCTAATTCAAACCCTTCTCCCATCTTTCAAATCAAGTTAGTGATTTCTCTCTTCCTTGTGGTTCCCAGCCAATTGTCATTTTCAGTGCATCCTATCGCCCTGCAGTACAAACTGTTCTGGGAATACACTTCATTCCTCCAGCAGGCTCTCAGCAATGCCAAGGAATGTAGTTCTTCTGGTTACAATTAAGAAATTCAACACACAACTGCTCCCCAAGTGCACCAGAACCTGCTCGTGACCTTCACGCCACTGAACCTGAAGTTGAAGCGATTTTTTGTTCTTTGCTTCCAATGAGGAGTAGAGGGGAGGAGAAGGGGGGAAATCCCTGTTCCTCCAGAGAGGCTGCATGGTTTCAGGGGTCAGCTGCACAGAAACTGGCACATGGAAGTGCAGTTTCCAGGGCTGAGTTCCCACCAGGCGCTCTGGGGGCTGCTGGGCAGATGCCAGCCCGTGCTGGCAGGGCCGGCTTGCTGCGCTGTGCCGGCCGGGTCGGCAGGTTTAATTCCCACCCCTGCATGGCAGAAAGTGTGGAGCCTGCTGCCATGCCCTTCTGGGGACCTGTGGTCCCCAGGGCCACTGCTCAGCAGCTGGGTAGGGCTGCCTCTTGCTGCTTCAGGTCCATCCCCCTGGGCTGTCTCTCTCAGTTTGAACCCTTTGGGGGAACATTTTGCGAACAAACTCTACCTCCACCTTTTACCATATTCCGTCTCTACCAGGATTGTGTCCAGGTGAGGCAGATTAAGCAGCTACTACAGAATAGCTCTGCCATATCTCTTTATAAATGTAGTGTCTATTAAGTACACTCAGACCTGATTTGATGTAATAATTCCCTCACTTCTTTTTGTCTTTTCCAACCTGGATTAGCTCTCCAGTCACACTCACTATACAGCCCTACAGCCCTACCAACAGCTGTGTACTACATGTGAAGGGTAGAATGGGGGCAAGGATGAGTAGGAGGAATGGAAAACCCCTAAGTCAGGTGCTACTGAGGAAAAGGCACCTGGAAACTTACCCTTCTTTTAAATACCACAAGTTCTTTCAGTAATTACATCTGTGAATTAACTCACAGGGCTGCAGTGTACACATAATGGAAAATGGGAATGATCAATGAATAAGATTATGAACAGCTTTTTCATGCTGTCAGTGGTCAAATGTGAAAACCTAAGTGTATGTAGTGTCTATTTAAAAAAAAAAAAAAAAGGGTTTTGATTGTGAGCTTGAGCTATTAGATGCTTTTGAAGTTTTTGCCCTCTATCGCTCTTCAGCCTCTGCATTTTCAGCCATAATCCAGCTTTAAAACTCTCCCCTAAAACTCAGGATGACATTGTTACCCAAGATAAAATATATATTTTTGTTTTCCAGATGGCAGGAGATGGCAAAGGAATAGCATGGAAAATCCTTGATGTGGAATCTCATTATACAAAAGCACTTGGGGGGTCCCTGGAGCTCTCCAATGACACCTTCTTTTCTCTGAGGATCAAAAACACAACCAGGCAAAACAGTGGGACATATAAGTGCACTTTGGGGGAACACAGTGGAGAACATAATCTGAGCAGTGTGGTCACTTTAAAAGTAACAGGTACAGTAAAGACTCTTGATTGTTCCATGCTCTGTGTAGCATTTCATGGAAGTAGCAGTTCAAAAATGTTTTACAAACACCTTGCTTTACATTTCAGGTTGTCCTGGAATAGAAGATGAAAAATTAAAAAAATACAAAGCTGAACTTTTCATGCTGACTTGCCTTGGGATTTTTTACTTGCTGCTCATCTTATTTACCTGTGTAAGTAATTCTCTTCCTCCTAAAGAAACTAACCAAAACCAACAAAAAAAACCCAACCCTCCACTCCTTTTCTCTGTTAGCACCACCTTAGCACAGTTGGTCAGAAGTGGATGTTCATACTTAATTTATTATCAAAACCTTGAAAAACTCATACAGTATTTTCAAAGCCAGAGGAAACTCAGGTGCATGAGGAGCACAGAATGGAGTCTAAAAGAGATAAAACGTTTCACTGCCCTCTGATTTAACATAAACCAGACAGTTATTTTCCTGCACTCAGCTGCCCTGTTCTGCTTCCAGTTACTCCAAGTGCAAGCTACTCTGCAATTTAGGGCACATCAACAGCTCTTCTGTCTTGATACTTGGGAACAACATTTGCCTGAGATCGAGGCAGAGGCCCCTGGGATCCCTTCCCCACCTATGGCGTTGCTTTGTGTGGCTGCAGGATGGACAAGTTCAAGTTCACCTGTTTATTCCCCTCAGTTTCCAACCTGTGACCAGGTGACAACCCCATTTCAGACGGGCATTTTTGTCAGGCTCCGTCTTTCTTGGTAAACTGACATTTTAAGATCCTTAGAAAAGAACCTCCCTGGGGCTTTATCCATTCCCTTAATGCTCTCGGGGACTTGTGGGAACAATGGTGAGAGGAGACATTTGGGAAGCCCAGTTCACAGAAGCAAAATTGTTTTGTCTGCAAGAGCGGTGAAGTCACACCCTTGTGCAGAAAAACCAGGAGTTCTGCACCTCTTGCTTAAAGGCAGCATGAGCCTCGGGCCTCAGTACAGTGCAACACCAGCTGCATTTCTAATTAAAACCAAAACAAGACCAACCCCAGCATTTTTGGGGGGGAGGGGTCAAATTTTACTTTTGCTGCTTATTTAATATTTGCCTTCATGTTTTGCTCCTCAGCAAAATTGGAGACTATCTAATTAGCTGCAGCTAAATGTAGCTTTTCATGTATCTTCAGGGAGCAATTAAATTTATGCCTGTCTCTTTTTTAGATTGACAATCCTGCCAGTAATTTGTGCCATTCAGACTAAAGTTTGACAAGATAAGTCTTGTAGGAATTTGTTAGGATGAAAGTATGAAAGCAAGGATATCACTCAGAAGAGACAGATGCCCCAGTTCTTCTCAGTGTCCTGAAAGCATTTCATATCTCTACAGAAACCTCTTTTTCCCATATGTAAAAAAACAGAGTCCCAGTTTTAATGGTGCAGTTAAAAAAAAAAAAAAAAAGCAGAGCTGTGTAGTGAAGATAACCACTCTGGTAGAATTATGTGTATCTTACTATTGAGTGAGGACCAGTCTCAAGTACCAACCTAGCTTTCATCAAAATGTAATATTGCCCTGATCTCACAAGAGAGTTTCATTATTTAAAAGGTTTCTTAAGTTCTTACAGGTTATCTTGTCCTCTCCTTTAGTGGAGGTTGTGTCTTATCTCTGCTAAACTCAACAGGGACATTAAGATGGGTTGGCAGGACTGGGCTTTACTATGACAACTTGACGAAGATATTTTAGGCTCTGGCCTGTACTGAAGGCAGGTGGAAACAGACTTGCAAGAGCTTGATGCAAGGCCAGTTCATATAAAAACTTGAATTTAATACAAATTTCCTTTTGTGACTAAGGCTTTTTCCCTAAAAATTTCCTTGATTGAACAGCAAACTGCAGGTTTCTTCGTACTGGGTATTCCTGGTGACAACCAAATGGAAAAGGTGTACTGAACTATGGTTAGCAAGGAGAAAAAGCAAAACTTTTGAACTTTAAAAAAAAATTGCCTTTCATAGAAATTCTCAGTTTTAAGCTTTCCTTTCTGTTTGCTTTTTCAGACATGTCTAAGAAAAGAGAGTATGTCTCCCAATTATCAAAAAACCAGACTAGATATGAAACACATGCTCACGCTCATCAGTTTACAAGAAATGACAACTTTCCAGGATAAAAACAGTGACAGCACTTGCAAAAAGGAGCTTACTTCAAGTTTTGTCTAAGTTGATGTTGATGGCACTGTGAGCTCATGAGTAAACCTGACGCGAGCTGGATGGACGACTGGAGAAAACAAATGCTAATATATGGCTTCTTCAGAACAGCCTGAAAGTTTAGATAACCTGTTAGCAATCTGCTTGCACTGGACAAGCCTTTGAAAAGCACTGTTAAGCACTACAGTGACTTTTGGGAGTTTGACAGCTAAGAAAGACCATTACAGCTACCCAATGGTGTTATGATGCTGTTACAAAGTTGGCATCAACTTGATTTTGCTCCGCTGTGCAGCCCTCTTGTTCTGATTAGGAACATGCCTGTGATGCGAAGACTAAGTTATAGGGAGGCCACAGCAGTGCAATGCTGAGGGATGAAGCTCTTCACTGAGCTAATGGCTCTCATCTTTCAAAAGCAAACACAACAGGTGCTGCTTTATGGAAAGATACGTGTGTGGGGCTGTTGCCGCTCTGTGCTCTGAGCCTGATTCTGGATTGAGTTCCTCTACTGCAAACGGGATGTAACTTGACATGTGATGTTCAAGTAAGCTGAAGAGGTAACTTCATGCTCTTGTCCTGGGTGAATCAAGTCAACATCCATTTTTAAAGCTGAGAGTGATGGATGGGCTGAAATGTAGGATGGGAGAAAATATACTGGAATACCTTCTGGACTGAGAGGAAATTTTTATCTATGCAAGAGAAGTAAGGATGCATTTGCATAATGAGTCCATCAGTTATTTGCCAGAGGCCTTTCCATAAAATTCTATAGGTCAATCTGTAGGAAGTATCAACAAAACTGTTAACCTTAAGGCAACAAAAGTAAGAATGAAGCAGCCTATGATATTAAGGACATGTAAAAGCGACTTACTTTGTGGTTTATAAAACATGACGCTGCATGTATGTGACACCCACATCAGCCAAGTTACACAAGTGAAGACCAAAGCCATGGTTTGGAAGAAATCAACCAACAGTATCTTTGGGTTGTGTTAAGTCAGCTAAGATGGGGCATATGAGCACCTGCTTTTGATGCTGGAAGTGTGTAGTACATGAGAAATGAAGACATGAGAAGAACTGAACTCAGGCACACAATATAAGGGAGAGAAGGCTTGTCCTCTCGAACCAAAGGAAGAGAGAATTTGGATCTGAAATCAAGGAACCTCCTTTATCAGGCTGCTGGTACAGAAGATGAAGTAAGAGGAATCTAAAGTGACTGTGAATGTTCATGCCACAACATGAGAGTTTGAGAAAACATGAAAATTTGCAAGCACTATAGAAAACAATCTTAAAAAAGAAAAAGAAAAAAAAAAAAAAGAAATAAAACTGCCTTTCAAGAGTTAAACTGCAACATTAGGATTTTAAATTAAGTTTGGAATTCCAAGCTTTGTCAGGACTCTTTTTCTGTAATCCGTTGACTGATTTTGAAGCACTGATGGGAGGAGAGCACTGTGTGTGACTCAGTGCCTCTGTGAGCAGGGTTAAATGTCTGCACTGATGGAGTCCAAGGGGCTCCTGACCACAAAAATTGTTACAAGGGGTATGCAATGTACTTAGACCATGGTAAATTAATTCCACGTTTGTATTTTTATAATCAACTTTTACATATAGATGTGTATCATATACTTGAAATAAAAATTCAGACGTAACCTGCCATTTGTTTTTGTGTGCCACACATAGCCTATAAACCTAGAAATACTCGGTATCAATTGCATTTTGTTTTACAATTAACATAATTACATCAAAGGCAGCCTTTTTTGCAGGAGAGGGCATGTACGTGTCAATAATTGATTAAGCGACGGATAATGTTACGCATTTTGAAGGAACACAGATAATTTAGATTTTCCTCAAAATCTCACTTTCTGCCCAAGTACATTCTAAAACACCTGTTCCCTACTGACAGGCAAGTCATTAGGGAAAATACAAGGGCATTTCAGTCTACCCATGGTCACTTTTAAGCATGGCGTCTTGACCTGTGTTGTCACGCGTTTTGACCTATGTGTTTAGGTGGCAACAATACAAACTCAATGTGCATGTGTAATAACTGACTTGGGGTACATCAAGTTTCTCCATTTGGTCAGAAAGGCTTAAATCCTGACAGTCACGGGGTTTTGCTTTTTTTCTTTTTAATTATAAATTGGGGTTTTTTTAGGAGAGTGGGCACGAGGAAGGAAGGGAAAATTCAGATGAAAACGATTGGTAATCAGTAGCAAAAGCTGAAACACTTTTAAAACTATTTCTTCAGATGTATAAATAAGATCAGATCAGATAGGGCAGAATGAAAATAGAGACTTTGTGTAAACAGCTATGCCCATTATTTTTTTCCCCAAGCCAAACTGCCTGCAATACAGAAGATGGGGCCTGGCACAACAACACTGGGAGTCAAATTTCAGGCTCAGAAGTTTCAGGTTGGTTGATTCTGGGGATTTGCTGTAGGCCCAGCTGTGGAGTAGAAGAACTCATGTTCAAGGTCACTCAAATGCATTGAAAGTCTTACACCAAGACACTTGACTGAATCACAGAACTGGAGAGAAACAGATAACGTCCTAAATCGACAAGGGTCACTGTCCATCTGGGGTGTAAGGGATGAAAAGAAACTGTTGTGGCATTGTAGGACAAAAACTAACACTAGCTAGAAGTACTACAAATGAGAATCACACAATTGAAGGATAAAAGCTAATATATTACAGCAACTTCAGCACTCACAGGGAAGGAAAAAAAGACATAAATAATAATTAAAAAAATACCATGTGTTGGCTGAAAATCTTACAGAATGATCTAACCATTTTTCAACATACTATCTCAGAAGAAACAGTCCTTTCCTTGCAATATAGGTCTGTTCACGTTTCAAAATCACTGCCTCAGCTAGCCCAGCATACAAGGCATGAGTGCCTGCACACATTCTTTAGACTCTTAACACTTCATTATTAAAGGGAAAGTGCTGTGGATTGCACAACTGAGAGGCTGTTCTCATTATACAGAGTAATTGCTTTGTTGGACAGAAAAACTTGTTATTTTCCACCACTCTTCTAATTATCAGTGCCTTTAGTTTTGTAAGATAGTTTAAAAGCACGTGTGTGCTAGAACTGCTCTTTGTAATACTTTCTTACAATACTTTTTAGCATCAGGAATTCAGTTAATCTCAATAAATCCAGGAGGTGGGAAATACCACAATCTTTGTTTTATCAATAAAAGCCACCTGGGAATCAGAAAGCTCCTGAAGAAGTGTGGATCAGAATTGGGAAGAGATCCAAGGTTTCCTGACTCTTCCTTGGGTGCCTTAACTGCAGGAGCTTACTTGCTAATATTTCCTGTGAGTTTTGTAACTATTTCACTGATTTCTTTTTCCTCTGTTATCTGCTTTTTTTCTTTTAAATTGCTTCGTCTGAAGGTGAACCAGCTGCATTCAAAGAAAACAACAAGCATTATTGACTCACATAGAGCAAGTTTGTACAGCTATGATTAAGGAATATAGAGAAACACTGCACCACACAGGGAAATTACTCCAAAGAGAAACTGCAACAGTCATTCAGTGGAGCTAAATGAATATCCAGAATGGCAATGAGTGAAAGCTAAAGGACATAGTCCACAAAACTCCGAATGTGTGAGTTATAGCCTTTAGCTAAGCCTGATTTGTGAGGTTAGCCCTCACACAGCAGATAACACTGGCTGACATTGACCTTGACAGCATTGCAACAGAAGTATTTCCTGCAAAGGCTGAAGGGTTTTCAACCTATTTCTCCTGAGCAAGAGCTACAAGCACACTTGTATTAAACAACATGGACCAAAGTAACCCTTGGCATGTGCCTGTGAACGATACGAACAGAATATGGCTCTTGGGGCATGCCAAAAGCCTTGCTCTCTTTTTTCTTCTGGCCTTGATGGGAATGTTTTGGAGACCACAAAGCACACTTCCCTGGTGCACACATTCCCTTTCTTTCACCCCTTCACGGAGCTGTGCAGCTATGCAGCACAGAGTGGATCTGGTTCCAAGTCTGTTGAGCACTATTTAGTGACCTTCTCAACCAAAACCTCTACCCCTTGGGAACTGCAATTGATTTTCCTCATCTCTGTACATGAAGACAATGCTGCAGCAGTATGTTACAGCAACACAGTTAAAGTGCTTTCCCTGCACCTCCATTTGAAGTAAAGGTCTGTGAAAACCCTGATTCTTAGCAACTTGTGAAACAAAATGCTGGGGGAGACTAAAGAGTTACAAATGAATGCAGTACCAATTTTTCGGTTGATGGTCTGTTCTCTGTTGGCTTTGCTGCCAAGACTTGTGTTTGCAGTGCTCTGTTTTTCGCTGACTACAGCTGATATTACTTGTGTGTAAAGCTGTGAGAAGATTGCTGTTAACTCTCTGGAGCGGTGACGTAAATCCTGAAAAATCCACCCAGGCAATGGGTGGTGAAAAGACCAACGTGGGTCGCTGCAAGGAGCTGAGTGTCTTTGGAAGGCTTTGTTTTACATCCCAGCCATGAGAGTCTTCTCACCCTTTGATGGAAAAACTTACTCCGAGCCTGTGGCTGAGTTACAAGTGTATTCATTACCCTGCAATCAGGCAGCCTGGGCTGATTTTAAGCATTTGCTCTGCTAAAATGCAGATGTCACAGCCAGTGTTTAAAAAAAACCAACAAACCAAAACCTAAACCAAAACCAGCGTAAACAAACCCAACTCTGTGGACACATTCAAGACAACGGGCAACAACCAAGAGAAAGGACAGGTCCCAGAGAAACACGGATTGTACCAGCTCTGTGTAAACACATGCTTTGCTCTCTGCAGATTCTTTCAGTTGCTTCTGTGAAGGGAAGTCTGTAGTGGTTGGGGTTTTTTTGTTTGGTTGTTTTTAAAAACAATTGCACTGTGTGCCTTGGTTTCCCTGTCTATAAATGGAAGCAAATGTATTCATATGTTGTCTTGCATGAGAGGCAGGGAAACCGGCAATACCTTATTGCTTACTTGGACCTGAAAGGAACTTTTTACTCAAGTTGTCCTTCAGGGAAGAGGAGGCTTGAAC